GCCCAAATTCTATTTGAAAACAAAATTTGGAAATTTGGTATTTTTGCCATTTTTCGACAATTCAACAGTTTTTTTCTGAAAATCTGGACGTGGTAGAAACATTTTGCAAATGCACTTTAAATCAGCATCAAAAAATCTATAAGATGAGGTGGGCGCTATTCTTGAGATAAAATATGACCAAATTTTGTTGAACCGTGTTATTTCCAAGTATGTACATTGGTCATAGCATAAAATATTTTATTTCCAATCTAGTAAGAACTTAAATGCAAACTTCAACGTCAGTGCAATGCATACATATGTACATCCAAATGTAAGAACATACATACACATATGCATATATTTAAAGTGCAATTTTAGCTTTTGTAACTTATCTAGCGTAGCAAATTTAATTTTAATTAAATACCAGCAAACCGATAAGAAGCTTAATGAATCGCTACTGTTGCTAAATGTTACTAACTAATGAAAGATGCATTTCATCTAAAGTCGACGTAAGAAAAGTGATTGATGGGAAAAATCCTAATTTACCTTGGATTAAGACTAATATACGAAAATATATGTATTTACATGTGTATGTATATATACACTAATTCTAATTAGCAGCAGGTCGCTTTATATGTTTATGCATTTGTATCTACATACATAAGTGCACATGCATGTTTGTATATACATACATTAGGGTGGTCCAAAAATTCATGTGAGAAAGTAAAGTCGGAATTTTTATGCTCTCACCCCTAGAATTGTTCTATACCGAAAAAATATACCCCTATTTTTTAATTTGAAATCAAAATATATTTACGAGGTCGCTCAAAGCGCTCAAAGTTTTCAAAGTATTTTATACAAAAAACACAAAAACAACTTTTCGAAGAAATTGTATAGAATTCTTAAAAGTCAATATGGTTCGATCGGAAAACTCCGTTTCTCTTCAGGAGACTATATTTTATAGCTCGCCAAAAGCCTTCGAAAAATTCCAGTAAATGCAATGTGGGGATAAATAAAAAATCTTAGGCAACAAACAATGCTTAAATAAACAATCGAGTATTGTTAGTGGAAGTCTCCTGAAGAGAACCAGAGTTTTCCGACCGAGAAATATTAATTTTCAAGAGCTCTATACCATTTCAATGAAAAGTAGTTTTTTCCCATATAAAATATATGGAAAACTTTGAGCGCTTTGAGCGACCTCTTAATATTTTTGGATTTAAAAAAAAATAAGGGTATATTTTTTCGGTATAGAACAATCCTAGGGGACGAGAGCATACAAATTCCGACTTTACTTTTTCACATGCATTTTTGAACCACCCTATTATAATGAGTGGTATTTGACCGTTGATCTTTGCGCTTATGTTTTATTTCATAACGGGGGCCATTAAGTCAAATAACTGTAGTGCAGCAAGTCATTTAAAATTGGGGCAAAAATGACGGAAAATACAATATAAAAATAGAAAAATAAAATAAGCGTAAAAATAGAAACTATGAAAAAATGCATTTTGCAATCCTTGAACTTAATTTAGTTTGTAAAAGTATGGGTGAGTTGTAGCAATTTTTCTTAGATAGAATGTACATTTTTCAAAAGTACAAAATAAAAGACAGACTTATTTATTAGATAAATGGAAGCGAGCATTTTTCATTTCCGCAACTTTATTTAATGAAGTCGCGTACTGTGGACAACCACACAGCAATGGTGAAAATGAGATTTTGAAATGAGTGTCACTAATGCTCACTAACGCCGCCATTCGGGACCAGAAGATCAAATAGCGAGTATCAGAGCTAAAAGAAGTGCTCAACATTAGTGGCGGATATTGGCGAAAGCGGACTGACGTGGGAATAGAGAACAATACAGAATACTGAACAACGAATAAAATTGTACAGTGGTCCAAAACTGGAATTTACTGTTCGAAATAGACTTTAATTTGTCAACCGATTTGATTGTTTTTTTTTTTTTTGCTTTTTTAATGAAAGCTAATAAAATGTGGAAGATACCTCTTAAGCCCGATTCTTACATATTAATATATACACCCCTATTGCGAGTGTCGACTGGCAGTAGAATAGAAATTTGTCGATCGAGTCGATCATCTTTTATTTTGCTATTGTGTAACTTGATCGATAAAAATTTGTACTATTGTGAATGGTTGACGGAATTGTAAACAGCTGTTTGTTTGTTTACATTTGTTTCTTTAATGTTTCATTTACATCATTTTTAAAATAATTGCTTTTATTATAAAATTTAAAAAATGGACACAGTTGAAATATGGTTTGGTGATGAGGAAGATGATGTGGAAGCTAATAGATTAGTAGAGTTGGCTAAAGCAAGGAGGGAATTGCGAGATTCGTCGGATCCCTTGGAGTTGGAAGATGAAGTGTATGTACATATGTGAATTTTATGAATAGAAGTTGCGTTCCCGATGCTTCAAGGTTTTTAGGTTTTACAGGATTTGCAGGAAAAGCTGTTTTCCTCATTAATAAATTTTATGGAAGTTTAAGAAATACGGTACCGTTTAGTTATTTGTACAATGATGTTGAGTATTTGTGTCCAAACGCGTGACCCGAGTTTTAAAACTTTAACATACAAGTGTAGTGAAAGAATTAAACTTTAATTTAACATAAAGATTTCAAGTTTCCGAGCACTAGTTAATTAATAAATTATGCAGTATTTTGTAAACTTTGATGTTGGTTCTGCGCAAAAACACTGTGGATGGCGTAGCCGGAATTATATGCACAAGAAATATTGTATATCTTTCACAAAAGAAGCGGAGCTTCCTCCCCTGCTCTTTACGGAAATTCCTTTGCCTATGTCCTCACTCTCCTGCATCAGCTCGACCAACCGCGCAAGTTGCCTTTTGTTGCTTACAATTTTTGATCTGTAATTCAGACACATATGTACATACATATGTATATTTCACAATTTTTTACAACTTCCAATTCAATTGACTTACTTTTTATCCATTATAGTACCACTTTCTTATGTAAATTTTATAAACGCAAACTCTAACGACTAAAAAACAGCAATAGAAGGATGAGCGATTAAAAAGTATTCACAGTCGCTAATTGAGCGACTAAGCGACACTCACAATACCATCGATAATCGATAATCGCTTAATAGTCGTTTTTCTACTGCCAGTCGACACTCGCAATAGGGGTGATATTTTTTTTGTGCAGCGAAACTAGCAATGATGAAGAAAATCCATTCTCCTGTTCCAGTTAATAAATGTCACACAACTAAAAACTAGTTGAATACAATTGTTGGATTCCTCCAAAATGAAAACCAAATTTCACAGAAAAAAATTATAAACAAATTCTCACCGAAATTATATACTATGTTTTATTTAATTTTTAGAAAAAATTCAGTTATACAGTTCCATAGCTGCTTAAATTTTAGTGCAAGTTTCAAGTCGTAAAGAATTCGTGTATATGTATGTGTTTCTAATATTTTCTTATGGGCATTTTCTTCCGTATGCATAAAGTGTGCTGGTAATGTCAGTAAAAAAAAAATTATTAAAAATGAACGCGAGTTCTTAGCCACTTGAAACTTGTACTTTATTGCACTAAAATTAATGGGTTATAAAACTGCTACCTAACATTTATCTAAAAGTCCTGTAAAAACTGAAGTTTTAATAAAATTTTTTATAAATTTAAACATTTACTTTAGCAAATTTTTTCTCTTTAGAGGATCCCTGTAATTGTTTTCAACTGGATTTTATTATGTAACAATAATTAACATAAACGAGAGAATCAATTTTCTTCAACGTTGCTACTTTCTCTGCACTTTTAAAAATAACATTACATAAAAATTTAATGAAACAAAACAAATAAAAATTCCAAAATCTGTTCGCGGCCGCGGAAATCCTATGCATCTCACAAAAAACTTAAGTTTCGCTTATAAGTAAGGAAGTCCAGATTTATACAAAAAAAAGGGGTAAAAATGAAGGAAACATTCATACAAATAAATTCGCTGTAATTTAGATTTCCTTTATAAAACCGGAAACACCTTAAGCATATGAAATGGGACAGTGATTGCATAGTTGTTGACGTAAGCGTAAATAATTAAAATTATAGCTATACATTTTTGCCATAAATTTTCTCATACTGCAAGTAATCTCTAGCGGAAGTTGAAAGTAATTAAAAATGACACAAAAAGATTACTTACCATGCATGCACATTAGATCGTATCATCTCACAAGAAAACAAAAAGAAGAAAAGTGCCCAATACAGTATTTTTGCAAGGCAATTTCGAAATTTTTTTCTTTGGCTAAACTAACCTTTTTTAATTTTTTCGGTGACACCTATGCAGTAATCGTAATACTTCCTTACTGGGTGGTACGATAGGGTGATTGATAATAACTGAGGTTTGTTGGGTAAGTATTACAATGGGGTAATTGAGCGCAACGAACTTTGGAATAAAAAACAATTCTCCTCAAGACAAGATCATCGATGTATCACACTTTGAGATGCGAAAATGCCTTGCAAAAATACTTTCCTGTGTGCACCGCGATTTTTTTTTTTCTGGTACAGTCTAAAACGAAGAGTGAAATGGGACTTCTATATCCATGAGTGTAAAAATCTTTAAAATTTGTATCTATTGTTTTCTTTCATTATACTCTTTTTATTTTTATTTAAAATAATTTTTATTGCTCTTTGTGTTATTAAATAAATAAAGTACATACATTGTAATTTTTAGATAATTAAAGCACATATTTCCCATAGACAGCTCTTATTAGTGTACTTACCACGCACATACATACTTCATTACCATTTTAATCATAGTTTCTTTGTTTCGCTACACTTATGCAACTTTTTTGGCGGCTAAATTATTACTCAAGCGTTTATGGGTTGAGAATTACATACATATATGCAATTGTAGGTAGTAGTTCCGCTCAATGCGAAAAAATTGCACGCATATGTTAGTACCGAGTATTTGCAATATTTTTTTAAATAAATTATTTTCTTTTGCTTTTTCGCTAATAAATTAGCTAATATCAATTGCTTTGGTAATATATGTACTTATGTATGTATGTATGTATGTATTTATATGTACATAGGTATATGCGCGTTTCAATTGTGCTACAACAGGTTTACGTGCAATCACGTAAATTTTATTATTATCTATTTATGGATATAAATTTGTGGCATGGCATAGATATTCATAAATTAGGCGCATGCAACCGCCTGAGCCTTCTTTTGAATCAGACAATCCAATGCACGTTGCACATCAACGAAAATTTCATCGGCCGTACGTTCGGCATTGAGCTGTAAATTGAAGAAAAAAAAAGAAAAAGGAATAATCGGAGTTATGCAAGAAAAATACATATGTATGTATGTATGCATGGTTTACACTCACCGTTATCGTCTTGTCGGTATATTGATCCAAAATTGCACTGGTATTCGTTCTAAAGGTGGCGAGGCGAGTTTTGATGGTTTCCTCATTGTCATCGGCGCGCTTTTCTGTCGAAGCAGCTGCACGCCCCAAAATGCGCTGGACCATAACATCCTAAAAGAATTTAATTTTTTATGTTTTTTGGTTTTAGTAAACTTGTTTGTGTCTCGTATGTTTAGAGATTTTAGCGAATTTATTATTTCAGAGGCCAGACGGGGACAAAGCCTTCTCTAATGTAAAGTAAAGCAGTTATTTAAACACTTAGTAACTAGTATTTTTGAAAAAGCGAAAGATATCGTTTTAGATCAAAATAACGATGTCCTATACAATTGTTTCCTTGATCAGCGACTGACTGCGAACATAACATTTGTTTGCGTTCTTTCTTGAGGTCAGGCCCACATCACGGGTCAAATTTCTGGTTTGGCAAGTTCTAAAGAGAACTTAAGAATTTGGCAACATTCCTAAGTGCTATTTAAAAGAAAGTTAGGCCTGATGACGGCTTTATGCTGTGACCTACATTTTTAAATTGTAGTTGAAAATCAAACTTAAAACTTTATACTTCTCTTGCATTTTTGAATTTTGAGTTATGACGCGCAATACTGTTAACATACAAATCTGAAATCTGGTAACCATGTTTTTACCGGAAAACTTCTAAGAGGTGAGATTGTATAGTTATGTCTCTATCTAGTTCAAATATGGCTTCCTAAATGAGATACCTCATAAAAATATGTAGAAGGGTTTTTTTGATCATGAATTAATTTTTTACTAGCCGGCCTCGTATGTGTAGATATTAAATAAGGTGTGATTGACAACTAAACAGATTGCAAGCCTACTAAAAAAATAATATATAATTGCGCATCTGGAGGCCAAGCCCTTTCATTTCACACTTCATTTTTTGTACTCAACGAACAGCCCACATTTTTTAATTTTTCGCACAGGTTGCAACCCTTTTCGAAAAATAAAACCTTGCTGCAAATCTGAAGGCCAAGCCTTTTTATTTGACACCTAATTTTTTTTTAATTGAATGAACGGTGCAAATCTAATGTCATTAACAAAAAGTGCCCTCGCGTATTATATATATATAATTTTTAAATAAGTGGCAATCCCATTCAAACAAAAAATAAAAAAGTTATTGCACATCCTTTCACGTGGTACCTTAGTTATTAGTTCAACAAACGGTGAAGATCTTATAATTTTTAAAAAGTTGCAACCCTACTCAAAAAGTAATACATTATTGAATTCAACGAACAGTGCGGAGCTTATAATTTTGTATGCATGTGGTAATCCAATAGGAATTTAAAGTACCCACACTTAAACAATTTTGTCTAAATCCGTTTAGTTATTTCAATTAGGTAGTTATTTTCAATTAGGTGGCAACCCTATTCAAAAAATGAAAGCTTTCGTACATGCGAAGGCCATGCCCTCTCATTTGGTATCTTATTTTATAGCCCAACGAACGGCGAAATCTTTTAACTTTTTAAAAGGTGGCAACCCTATTCTGCAAAATAATACATTATTGCACATATAGAGGCTAAGTCTTTTCGTTTGACAGTGGCGGTGCAGAACTGATGCCTTCGCTTATTATGATTGAACATAGTAATTTTATTAACAGGTAGCAACCCTATTCAAAAAAGTAAAGCATTAGTAATTTTCTAGAGGCCAATCCCTTTCATTTAACACCTTATCTTTTGTAATCCAACGAACGGTGCGGATCTTATAGTTTTTTAGACAGGCGGCAACCCTATTAAAATTCTATATAAAAAAGGTCACTCTCCTATCGATACAGAGAATATAAGAGCAAATCTCGTCGAAATCCGTTCAGTAGTTTTCGAGATTACCGCGTACAAAGAATCTCGACTTTCCTTTATACTATGTATAGATATACATATCTATTGTATGTAGAAGATTTATGGTTTCTGAAATACAATTGACTAATCTGAAGTACATTTGATGATTTCTGAAATATAGTTGAGCCTTTCCAAAGTCCTATTAGAAAAGGTATAGAACAATTGACTTGATCTGCCTTAAGTGAATGATTGAGAAAATGCCTGTTCATGTAGCAAATATCTACGTATGTCACATATATATATAGTTTTAGGTCCATGGGTTATTCATTTACATATATATTTTTAACGATCAAGCGTAGCGATTTCTAGAATCCCAGAGTGCTGTTAAGACTTTGCAGGTATTTTGGTCAACGTGAGGCTCCCATGAAAGTTTACTATCTAAAATTACACCTAAATATTTACTTAGGAAGAAATTTGAATAGTGACTTCCTTAAGGGCAGCGGCAACAAGGCCATCCAGCCTTCTCCTTCTAATGAAGATCATAAATAACACTAGTTTGATTTAGTGTCATTTGTGCTTTCCTGCAGACAACTGAAAGAAAAGGGCCTGACATATGCATATATGTAGCTGGGCGTAGCTATTAGAGCAGTTAAGTTTGGCCATCATGGAATCAACTGTCAAGCATCAGAGCAAGGGAGAAAGCACACCGCCCTGAGGACAGCCTGCTCTGCCTAACAGCCATACCGGTAAGGGATTCGCGACGTTCCGCTACAGTTTTGGAGTTGCATGTGATATATTCCACGGCCTTATTAACAGCTTAGATTTGTGGAAAAATGAAGTTATTGGTGAACGTAACTATTCTACTTCGTAGGTGTTCAAAAGCTTTTTGTATTGTTACCTAACCAACTAGAAACTGCAGGACTTTGACTAATCGCGTACCCTATTTGCCAGTTTAGAGCCTTCTATGCAAAATTGAATCGTTTGTTTCAGTAACATTCTCATACCACGCTTCACTTACATCTGAACAATCGAAGTAGATAATCAGATCCGCTGGCGCAATTTGTTGTTCAAAAGCAGCGCCCTGATCCTTCTCACGTGGATAGCTGTTATAAAAGAGAAATTATTATTACTTTTTTTTTTGAATACTTTCAATTTATGAAACACTCACCCATCAATTAGAAAGCCTTTCGAATCGGATTTGTGATCAGAAATAGCTTTCGCAAGTAAACTCAATACCGCTTCATTAGGCACCAATTTACCCTCCTTCATTATGGCGGACAACTCACGGCCCTTATCAGAACCCGAGGCGACCTAAAAGAAATCAAGCAAATGAAATTAAATATTGATAAACAAATCTTATATATGTATGTAAGTGTATACCTCTGCACGCAGCAAATCGCCAGAGCTGAGATGTGTAAATCCGTATTTCTCTACAATTTTGGCGCATTGTGTACCTTTGCCGCAGCCGGGGCCACCCAAAATCCAAACAATTGGTACGCCAACCTGGAAAATGGAAAGAATAAAATGAGTTGCTTGGCAAACATATTTTCAAATATTTAAATACATAAGTAGCTATGTATATAAAATTTACGCACATTCACGACATCTTTTCAATACCAATAATCAAATTTTTTCAAAAAGATATTATTTTTTTTTTTTGTTTTGCAGAGCGGCAGAGAGATGAGATGCAGGGCCATATATTATAATTGTTAATCAAATTCAAAAATACGCAAATGTTCAGATTAGTTTATAGACATATTTTAGATCCTTTTAGTACATTTTCTTATGAAGCTGTTAGTACATAACTGATACTAAGCGCTTTGTTTTTAAAAACCTATGAAAAAGATCAGTTAGCTGTGTGTTATGATATGCATTTGAAAGTTTCCACATTTTATTTACTTTATTTTTTTTGAAGCACACTAAGCAACATCCGTGCATTTTGAGTATTTCTGGAGCCAGATATTTTTTGGTTTTACATTTTTAAATTCCATCTAAATTTTTGGCAGTACATTACGATACGTATGTTTATCACAACCTTTTGTTTTTGGTTTTTATTTTTATTTTTACTTACACCAATTTGTGCTCTTCGAAGTTCGGCAGCTTTCGATTTGTCATTGGCTTCCTTCTTCATCGCCATTTGATGACACATAAATAACTGGACAAACACACACATGGTAGTGGTGGTATAGTTGGAACATATTCGAGTAAATATACATATATATATATATAACAATGAAGAGTGTATGTATGTTGGTGGATAGATTTTTATTTAAAAAATAATTATTTTATATTGCTATATGCAGAAAGTTTACGGGAGGTTCATTTGAGTAAAATTAATGGATCAACCCGGTCGGTTGGTTAGTAGCGCGGTTAAATAAAAAATAGCGTATCGAATACTTATGCGAGGGGGTTAGGTACGGCGATAAAAATAATTAGGTAATATAAGTAGATCAGCACTTTCCAATTGCACTAGAAAAAAGGTTCCACTTATCTGTTAACCAAATTTAAAAAAAAAAATCGAAATTTAAAACGCAAATCCCCTGTAAATTATTTCTTCCAAATCAGAAAAGGCTAACAGCCATCGCCCATCGGCAGGCAATGGCAAGACTCCGAGAGCATTTCTGCTTTGAAAAAAAACTTTTTATAAAACCATTTTCTGTTCGGAGGCATCATGAAATCGCCCTCAGGATGCACACCACAAACTGGGAGGTCAGCTCGGCCAAACACTTAAAAAAAATTGTACTGAGATTGGCACAATGCTCTCTATACATGAAAAACGATATTTCAGTGTTGATTTAATAGATCTTTAGGGAGATCTTCTGGAAACTATTGTAAACCTTGTGGATATTCGTTACAAGCTTTTGTTGTTAAGATGCAAGACAATCTAAGCCCTCGTTCTGCTATATCCGAGCTTCAACAAGTTTCCAACGAACTCCTAGTACTCTACAGTCTTTCCGCTGGATTCAATGTCAAAATCAAGAGGTATCCAGATGACAATTAATACGTCAGTGTTAGAGGGATGTGTTCTGGTGAAACTATTGGCCATACCGCATGCCTTCAAGCCGTCTGTGTTTATCCGCAACAAGCACACCTGGCGCAGTTAAACAGGTGCTAAGCTATTACTGGAGGACACGAGACGGTTGTTGTTGGTGTTGTCGTAACAGCATACAAATTCTCCAACGAGTTTTGGGGGGATTCAGCCGGAGTGACAGCCCTTGGGAATATATATGTATGTAAATATAGGTCGTTCCGCTTGTGTAGACCCTACTGTCGTGGGAAGGTCGGTGTTGGCGCTGCAAGCCTCCTGTGCAAGGGATGTAGTGTCCTAACTGGGCTATGCTATTAATCGTTGTCGTCAAGTTCGACTAGCAGTATACCCAGGAAACATGCTGTTTCGACGAGATCGGATCAAAAGGAAAGGGGCGTTAGGTAAGTAGGCTTGATTTTGGCAGGTGAAGCGGTGATTGGTGTCGGCGGTAGCCTTCATAAGCCGGACATATATTCGGCATGTCGGGGTTGAACCGGGATAGATATGAGTATAGTCGACTGCAGTGTCCAGGCCTTAGTTGTACCAGAGTTGCGCGAGACTCACTTGGCAGCTGAAGCTCTTCGCCTCGCGACATTTTTAGGGCGAGAGTCTCTGGAAAGTCATAATGGACTTTTTGTGAATGTTGTTTATGCAGTGTCGGTACGCCTTCGGGTCTAGTGGTAGGACTATGTACATATGTATCTCGTCCGTAAGTTCATGGAGGTGCCTTCATGTGTCCACCAAATGTCTATTCGACCAGAAACTTTATGCGTTAGTCATTTCAAGTAATCAATGTAGTTAAAAGACGCCTAATTTTAGCTTGGCTGAAAAAAATATTTATTTCGCCCAGTGATATTTTCTTTACCACAAACGTTTCTGTCTCGTCGTATTTTATGTTAATGAATTAACTTACAAATGGACTGCGAAATAACAATTAATAAAATAAATAAATATGAATTGCGAAGAAAAAAAAAAATGGCAAACAAAAATTTTCACAAGAAGACAAGTCAAAAGCTGTCATCATTAATCAAATGATTTATATTTTTGATGTTTTTTCCTATCTGAAAATTGGAAGACGCCCTTTACTGGTAATCATATGTATATCTATCTAACAAATGTACGAACACTTGCCGACATGCACTGTGAACATAACATTTAACAAAAATTGATTATGTACTTCCGAATTTTAAATGTAAGCACAGCAAGCAAGCCTAAGTAGAAACCGACACAAACAAAGAATATTTGTCATTTACGTCCTTGCGGTTTTGTTCGCTCTTTATTTTTAAAGAACTCTTGCATGGCCTTCATAATTTTCTTAATGAATTATTCTATTTATAGTAAGTACATTTATGAGAACTAAGACACTTGTTTAGAAATATTATTTAGAAATGTAGAGAAATTGCAACTTAAGTGGAAATTATTGGCACGTGTACGTAAGAAATTTGAGAATTTGTAAGTTTTAAAGCCAAATCACACGATTTGTACAGATTTTTACACTTTGCAATCACAGAGTGGTGTCATTTAGAAATTTTATCGAGAGTGAGTTCAGCTAAATAAAAAGAAATGCATAACAACAAAACTCCGTAACTGTCAAAATGTGATTTGACCTTTTCATACAAAATTTTTTTCAACCGACAAAAAATCCTAATAAAATCCTTTCAATTTAGCACGATACGAATCTTTAGTAAAAAATTTCAGCTTTTATAGTTTTTTATATACACTGCCGGAACAAAGTATTGGCACAGCAAATTTTTCAGAATATGTATATGCAAAAATTTTTTTTCTAATATTTTTCCGCCAATTTTGTATAAAAATATGGTTCATTCTACAACAAAAAATATAAAAATATAATTCAGCAAATTTTCATGCAAATATTCAACTTGTTAATCTCATTTTTTTTAATTTTTTCGAGTATGCAGTTTTGCAGCCCATTAAATTCTAGTAAAAAAATGCAAGTTCGGAGTTAGTCAAAAATTGCATTGATTTTTGATCTTTTTTTTTTTGCTGAAGGTGTTTTGCATTTTTTCCATATAAAATATTTTCGAAAAAAATTTTTTGCATGTAAAAGACTGTGTGGAAAAATATTGCCGAAAATCAACGGTAATTCCTAGCTACCTAAAACTTATATTTTATTATAATAAAATTGATTGGGCTAAAAATCTGCATACTCAAAAAAATTCTAATCTGATGAAAAAGTTGAAAATTTGCATGAAAATTCGCTGAATTTTCGCGAGTTTTGCACAAAGTTTAGGAAATATATATTTTTTATTAGTGCCAATACTTTGTTCCGGCAGTGTATGTATTTATGAGTAACTGTTGAAAAAATTCGCCAAGCAACCAAATCGTTTACTTTAATTCAGCTTATCTAAATTTTTCAAGCTATCAGTTTTACTATTTCGCTAAATATATGTATGTGCAACCAATTAGCAGCCAATAAAAAAGCTTAAAAAAAATTACTTTGTACCCACAGCTAGCCTACAGTGAAAGGCAGAGAGTGCGAAGTGATGAATTTCAGCATTGAAGCGGATAAATACCCGTATATATATATACATACATACATACTTTGGTGATTGTGCCATTAAAAAATAAATAAAAGAAAAGGAAAATAAGACTACGAGTAAATATAGCAAATGATTACAACTTGGTTAGCCAAATCTAAAATCATAGATCATTTGCGTGTAAATCAATTAAACGGCACTTGACAGTTAAATACCACTTCAACAAGTTGCTCGAAATTTATAGCAAATACTAAAAATAAAAAACCAATCATCGATTATCTTTAATTGTTTATTTACATAAAAATACGCCCAAACTAAACAATTGAAAAATGAGCAGCAAATATTGTCATTCGAGATAATATTTGGTAAATACCAAATATCTCCATCATAAATGTCAACTTAGTCACAAATTTAAGTAATTTTTATGCAAATTTGTGTATCAAAAAAAAAATATGCACATTTTGGACGTTAAAATTTAATTTCAAATGTTTATTGCATTGTGAGTTGTTTTGCTGATAATTGAGTAGCAGTTTTATAATATTTAATCTTGGTATTGTCCTATAATATTTGATTGACATTTGTGAGTCACAAATTACAGTTAATTGCCAAGTCTACAACGAAAGCAGATAATTCGATGCTCGAAAAGCAATTGATTAAATTGAGCATAAAACTAACGGAACATTAGTAGCAAAAGAAAAAAAGTATTGTTTCGGAATACTTTTGGTGCTTCTGTCAAACTTTGTATGTAGGTACAATTTGCAAGTCTTTTTTATTGCACATTTTTTGGGGCCTGAACAAAGACCACAAAATATAGAAGGATCGATTGGATCTGTTTGCGCAACTTAGGGAAGCAGTTGGTGAAAGTTTTAATTGATCGGATGAATATTCACAATATCATCTTATATCCGCTAAAAGACAGGAAGGGCGAAATGGGTTGGACATGTATGCCATTCACAATTATGTGTTTGTTCCATGAGAAGTGACCAGTCAAAAGCTTTTCAATGCCTCCCAATCATATTTCTTTATGACGTGCTTAAACGTGCTTAAAGTTTGTGACTGTAGCTTCGAAGGCCGACGGTAGAAGGGAAAAAAACTGGCTGAGAGCCCAGAAATATCCCGAGCCTTTTCTAGCAAAAGGTTCAGTTGACTGATTAGCCGTTATTCTCGCGTGAATTGACACCCAGAGTCGGAAGATTCAATGACATTGGTCACACTTCGGCAACAACTCAATTGTAACTCAATACTGCGGCTCTCACACTCTTTTATACTCTAGGGAAATTAATCTGTTGATAAAACTGAAAGAGTCTCCCCATCATTGTAAAGGAACCATTAGAAAATTTCATAACATTCAATAGCCAGTTCACACAGTGTTTACTAATAAAAATTTAAAGTATTTGCGTAAAAAGCATTGAAATGTTCTGCTTATTAAAGAAAAAAAAAACTTCTACGTAAAGCACACATGTTTTGTGCAAAAAAATACTGTTTGATAAATTTATACGCGCTTAAATATGCGAAAGGTACATTTTTCAAACAATAAAAAAATATTATTTTCTTTGAAAGTGGCTGCAAAAGAGTGAATGAACGCCTGACTGGATAGCAATTTTAGCGCAGTGATGGCAGGTACAAAAT